GAAAGAGAATGGCACTATTGATAAATATAAAGCAAGGCTTGTGGTAAAAGGTTACAGGCAACGTGAAGGTCTCGATTATTTCGATACTTATTCACCGGTTACAAGGATCACATCCATTAGGATGTTGATCGCGGTAGCTGCATTGAATGGACTACAAATACATCAAATGGATGTTAAGACCGCCTTCTTAAACGGCGACCTGGAAGAAGAGATATATTTAGAACAACCTGAAGGTTTTGTTGTTCCAGGACTAGAACGGAAAGTTTTTCGCTTAATAAAATCCCTTTACGGGTTAAAGCAAGCTCCAAAGCAATGGCATGCGAAATTTGACAATGTTATGTTATCAAATGGATTTCGAATCAATGAGTGTGACAAATGTGTCTATGTTCGAAATACTGAAAAAGGATTTGCCATTGTCTGTCTTTATGTAGACGACATGTTGATCATGGGTAGTAATAATCAAATGATTAAAGCTACTAAACAGTTACTTAATAGTAAGTTTGATATGAAAGATATGGGGATAGCAGACGTTATCCTAGGTATTAAAATCCATAGAACATCTACAAGGTTGGCCTTATCACAGGCTCACTATGTAGCTAAGGTTCTTGAGAAATTCAAGAGTTTGAAAATAACTCTTGTGAGGAACCCTGTAGATTCTAATCTGAGTTTATTAAAGAACACTGGTAAAGCTACATCACAAAAGCTATATGCTCAAGTGTTGGGAAGCCTGATGTATGTTATGAAATGCACCAGACCTGATATTGCTTACGCAGTAAGTCTGTTAAGTCGCTTTACTAGTAATCCAAATGAAAATCATTGGAAAGCTATGGTAAGAGTTTTGGGATACCTGAAGTATACTCAAAATTTTGCTTTGCATTACAAGAAACACCCCTATGTTATAGAAAGGTATTGTGATGCAAATTGGATCACCGGCTCTAACGACACTAGATCCACAAGTGGATTTGTGTTCACCCTTGGTGGAGGTGTTGTGTCTTGGAAATCGTCCAAGCAAACCTGCATTGCAAGGTCAACCATGGAAGCAGAATTTATTGCTTTAGATAAGGCCGGTGAAGAAGCCGAATGGCTTCGTAATTTTATTGAGGATGTTCCTAATTGGCCAAGATTGGTACCATCTGTATGCATACATTGTGATAGCCAAGCAGCTATTGGAAGGGCCAAGAACGTCATGTATAACGGTAAGTCTAGACACATACGTCGTAGACATGATACCGTAAGACAACTACTCTCGAATGGAATCATTTCAATTGACTATGTTAAGTCTAAGGAAAACATAGTGGATCCGTTAACCAAAGGGATTCCTAGAGAGTTGGTTGAAAATTTGTCGAAAGGAATGGGTTTAAGGCCTATCAATTGTTGAGCATTGCGGTAACTCTACCTAGAAGAGTGGAGATCCCATGAACTAGGTTCAAAGAGACAACTAAGTGATGGTCGACTGTTTAAACACTGTGGAGTTCTTAAACTCATACTCATTCCTAAGACAAGACAGTGTATTTATGAGGGTAAGCACTTAGGCTTTTAATGATTTCTTAATCTGTTGTGTTCAAATGATGTATAGTGAGTTACATCACAAGAAATCACCTATGTGAGTGTGAAGTGAGGGCCGCTTCTATGAGAATTTTTCAAAGGCCGATTCTCTAAAACACTCGCAGAACCAGGCAGGTGTCCCACGGCCAAAATGGGCACAACAAAGGACCAACAATGCTAGAGAAGCAATTGTGTGACTCCTATTGTCTAGGTATACACTAAAGGTTGACGGTTCAAGTCGACCTAGACCACCGATTGACCGAGTATATCCGATAGGTTTCCACTAGAGAAGGTTCAAAGGTAACTCCACCTATCTCGATGCAGTTGTTTCTCGTTGAGGAAATTACACTTTGCATTTATATTCTTATGCATTTTTGTCACGATGATTTGACTTCTTATCCATGTGGGGGATTGTTGGAATTTATATATATATATATATATATATATATATATATATATATATATATATATATATATGTGTAGACACTCTATTGGTTATGAATAAGAAGTTTGGTAATGAAAGGGTGTGTCTTTTCGTCGACAAACAGATGTATCTTTTCATTCTAAAGAATGTGTTGTTTCATCCGAACGGATGTGTTGTTTCATCCGAACGGATGTGTTGTTTCATCCGAACAGATGTGTTGTTTCATCCTAATGGATGTGTTGTTTCATCCTAACGGACATGTTGTTTCATCCTTGAATGGGTGCCTTTTCGTGTTGAACGAATGTGTCTTTTCGTGTCCAACAGATGTGTTGTTTCGTCGTCGAATAGGTGCCTTTTGAAACGTGACCGGTCAGTGTCTATAAATAGACACTGACACCTTCATAAAATGGATCCAATTTTCTGCACTGAAACTCTGCCGGAATTTTTCTCCTTCCGGTTTTGCATATTCCTTTTCATACTCCGGTGTGATTTCCTCTGGCATATTGTTGTGTTCGTTTGGGCTGTTGATTGGTAGTGCCGCCATTCTTCAGACGAAATCCGTTCTATCCTGGGAGACAAGTGTCCATCAACCTTGGGCATCAGTGAGGGGACAAATTGTCTTAAGGAGACACGTTCTGTGGGCTCGGATTTTATTCCTCTGATATTGCATTTTTTCATTCTTCTGATTCTGTTTGTTTCATACATATCAAGTAAGTCTATTTTTTAATATTTTTAATTGCACAGTGACAATTCTGATCATCTACTCCCTTCTGGTTTATTCATGGGTTCAAACCTCTTAGTGATTTAACATCACCCACTGTCTTCAATAACAATTGGTTCGAGTCAAGCATCGGATCGGTTATGCATCAGATCCGCTCAAACTCGGCCAAAACTGGTAACCTGGTCAGGTCATGCATTTTTATATATAAAAAAAAAAAACCAAAAACCAAAAACCAAAATTGTTTCATCTTGTTAGGAAAAAATGCAGAACTCATTTTAAATTTTTTTGTAATTTTATTTGCTAGTAATGTATTGTTGTACAATGACCTCAAATTTTAGCTTTTAATACTGAAGCAATTTGCGAAACAATAAATTAAGAGAACGTGACATGTTATTTCAATGTAGTTGAATTTGAAAAATATTTGTTCACAACATCTGGCTTTTTAAATGCAATTGAGAGGTATGCTTACGAGGATTCTGAATTGTGATTTAAATTGACATAGTAAAAGCGTGCATTTTCATTTATTTATGCTTTATGAATTTGTAAAAGTGTGATTGGATAATTTTTAAGCTTATTTAGTGAGCTTTGTTTAACTCATTTTAAATATGGAAAATATAATTAAATTTATATATATATATATATATATATATATATATATATATATATATATATATATATAGGCAAGAGCTTCTTACACCGGTGTAAAAGTATAACTCCTATATTCAATCTTAACTGTTGATTTTCGCATATCTAACGGTTATAATTATTAATTAATTAATAAAATGAACGGAAATCAATAGTTAACATTGAGTGTGTGTGTGTGTATATATATTTTTACATATATATCCAGGTCAACCAGTCTGACCAGTAACCCACCGATCCAACCAATGACCTAATAACCCAGTATCCCAACCGAGTCAATGTCCGGATCAAATTTAATAACACTGGGAAAGAAGGGACCTCCCCTCGAAGTGAGGCTAAACAACAATAACGGCCTGTTTTGAAGGGTTTTTCTTTTAGCTTCTTTTCTTCTTAAAAACTCTTATTGTAAAATGAGCTTTTTTTATAATAAAGAAAAAAAAAACTAAAAACTAAAAGTTCCCAAAAGTAACTTTTTTTAAGATATATATAAGCTTTTTTAAATCCTTATTTATTTCACAATTTCACCTTTATTCTAAACTTATATTTATATATTTTATCATTTATCTTAATAATTCATTCTAATAATAAATTATTTTTCCCCTCATTCAAAACCAAAATAACAACTTTATATAATCACAAAATAACTTTTAATTTTATTTTGAGAAAAGTTCATAAATCTTGTTTTATTCTTTTATCACTTATATCCCTATGCTTTTTTTCTTATCATGTAATTTTATTTCATCTAAATTCACCTTTAACACCGTTAATAATTTAACTAATTTATTTATTTTACCCCTATTTTACTTGTTAATTAATCTAACAACAATTTTGGGCAGCAACAGCACAGAAGCGAAGTTTAGACTCATTATAAATATACAAAAAACAATCATTTATTCTTGTCTCTTTCAAAGGTTTCGCAAAATGGACAACATATCCCCAAAAAATATCACAAAAAGGTTAACATTCCAAATATCGCTTTTAAACAAATTAATCTATTTTTTATTATTCCTGAACCAATTATTCCTAAACCAATCCACTATAAAATATAAATTGCCTCCTATGAAATTTTTTAAGCCCCCCCCCAATTTTATTTTTAGTCATAATCAAGTTTATCACATATGCCCCTATACTTTGTAAAAAATAAAAAAACACAGGGGCATAGATAAAAAAAATACCCTTTTGCAAATCACAAGAATATAAGTGATTCCGGAAGAAAGCACAGAGGCATTGATAAACGTTTTTCTATTTTTAATAAACAAAACTCCAAACATGAAATAAGGGTAAAATAAATAAATTAGTTTAATTACTAACGATATTAAATAAAACCACAGAGATAATTTAAAAAGAAAAAAAAAAAAAACCATAGGAATATGAATGATAAAAAAGTGAACCACATAAAGTTTAAGAACTTTTTCCTTTCAATTTTTTAAGCTCTTTTTTAATTTTAACTTAAAAATAACTTTAAACTTAAATAAAAAAAAATGCCAAGCAGGCTATAAGTGTGCCATTCATTTATTTTTCTACCGGGGGAAAAACAAAAATTCTTTATCATATGATTGGTTATCGAACATGCCTCCATTACTTTCTTTCAGTCACATCATCTCCATAAAGGTATCAACATTATTAAAAACTACCAATGGTAGCTTGGCGAGAAAAAAAGTGCAGCAGAAGCAAGTTATGTACGACGTAAAATTTGAGTCTTTAAAATGTTCGATAACCTTTGGTTTATAACATTTTACTATTCCCCGACTGCACCCTCCCAACACCCACAAGACTCGTATCAATTGCAACAACAAATTCATAAATAGAATCAAAATAACGTTGCTATATTTCCAAAACCTAAAAGCACCAACTCAATCATTCAAACCTGACCGAAACTTTTGCCTGCCAACAGACTCAATAGAGGAAACAGACCGCTCAATAGCATTGCTATGACCCATTCTGAAGGTCAACCACAGAACCTTGTCATATTGCTTGGCAGGAAATATTGAATAGATTATAATCAAGCTGATGAAGCAAGCTCCTCAACTTTCTTCTCTGAATCTGGTTTGCTTTCCTTTTCTGATGCAGATTCTTGTTCCACAGTTTTGTTCTCAGACTTATCTTCATCATTCTTCTCTGCATCTGCCTTCCCTTCAACACTCAGTTCATCAAGGAGGTCAGCAGCAGCAGATGCATCCTCGTTTTCCTCTTTGTTCTGAGATTCAGCAACTTCTTGGAATGTTTCCATGAACTTTTTGCAATCTAACAGAAAGACAAAACAACAGTAAATATATGCAGTAAACTTATGCTCCTCAATGGGCAAACAGAACAATAATGTTATTTTTGTCCAGCGCTAAACTGAACGTGTATAACCAAGTGACTATCATAACATATGTTTATGTTCAAGGGGAACACCAAATAACGGATTGGGATGGTAGGATAGGGTATTGGATATATTGCTACGTTGTATGTTGGTTGATTTGGTGTCGATAACGCAAGGCTTTAGGTTATGGAACAATAAGGGTATAAGTTTGGTATGAGTGGTTGAATGCAATATGGATGAAGTATCCTCCTTTCGGCACTGTAGAGGCATTTATACAGCCCTCGGGCAGTTATGGAGAATGTTTGTGGGTCTGGAGAGGTTTCCTGAAGAGTGATCATGGGGGATGTGCAAGGGAGAGAGGATCGTGGGAGATAGACTGTTACGTTTTACAGAGAACAACCCAAGAATTATCACAATCAGCAGCGAAAATAGAGACACAACCACTCTTTTGTATTATTCAGATGCAAAATAACACTCATAAACAGAGTTTGATTCATCTTAAAGGAAAGTTACATCAAAACTAAACCCAGCAAATTACAATGGAAATGAAAAGATAACAGTGAGACAATTATAGAGGTCCCACACTCTCCTAAGCAATTGCTTCTTCCATATTCCGCTCCCCTCTCCATTCCTTCCCACGCTCTATATAACCAACTCATGGCACAGCATGCACTGGGGTATTCTTGTGACTTCCTACTGCTGACGTGGCATTATCATCTGAGAGCTGCTCTTTTGAAGCATTTGGGGCTTGCTTATCTTTGATCCATACACGTCTTGCTTTGTCCCTTGTGTACATCTTGGGCCTGATTGTATCAATACTCCCCCCATTTGTACAACCTTGTCCTCAAGGTTGAATTGAGGAAACTGACTGTTGATAACTGTAAATTCCTCCCACGAATTTTCAAATGTTGGTAAATGACACCATTTAATCAACACTTGAACTGTGTTTGGGACAGAACGCCTCACGCCCAAAATAGCTTAAGGTTCCATTTTTAATTCCCAATTATCATTAAGGACAGAGGGGAGAGGTTGGATAACAGCAGCTGCCTTGACTGCCTTCTTAAGTAAACTAACATGAAAAACAGGATGTACCTGACACCCAGATGGGAGGTGTAAACGGTATGCTGCCTCCCCAACCCACTCCAGCACTTGGTAGGGGCCATAGAAACGTGGGCTAAGCTTCTCATTGATGCGTCTAGCAATCGTTTTAAGACGATAGGGTTGGATTTTGAGGTAAACCCAATCCCCCACAGCATATTGGACTTCTCTACGGTGTTGGTCAGCAAAGTGCTTCATGCGATCCTGTGCCTTGAGGATGTGATGCTGCAGATCTTGCAAGATGACATCCCGCTCTGCTAATGATTGGGAGAGCATCAACCGAAGGAATAAACGTCCTGATAAGTCTCTTAATTGAGACTTAGAGCATATGATTTAATTGGAAAATGAAGAGAAAAAATATTTATTTTGCTGTAAAATACCCCAAAAATTGAGTTGTGGATCTTTTGTAGATTAATTATTAATGGGCTATAACATTTCATTTTTCAGGCCCATTTTCTTTTTGCATCAGAAATACCATGAAAGGAAAGAAAAGAAGACAGCATGGAAGAAAGAAAGTGATGGGCCGGAACTAAAATACTAAAGCCCAAAAGGAAAGGAAGAAAGAAGCAAAGAAAAAGGAAAGAAAGAGAAGTCTGAAGCAGAAACGCAAAGAAAAGAAAAAAACGAAAACCCTAGCACTCACACATCGTGCGATCAGAACCCACATCCTCCATCCCTAATCCCTGCCCCAAATCGATCCAGAAGGTCAGAATATCCTTTGTCCACGGTTCATCTGTCCAAATTGACCCACACCCACAGTCCATTAAGAAAAGAAAACACGAAAACCCTAGCCATTATTTTTGGGTTCAGAAAAAGCCAAACAAAGATCCGTTACTTAGTGGAGGCTGGAGCAATTGTGAGCACACGTCAGTGTACGGGTTGAAGGAACGACAATTCCATCCGGATTGTATGAGCAGAGTAGTGGAGCACTGTGGGGACCACCTATTTGCAGCGCACAAGCAGCGCGTCATATTGCTGAGCTGGAGAAAAAGAGGATAGTGTGCAAAGAGCTATAAAAAGGAGAGCAGTGAGTGAGTTTTTGTGCGGTTCCGTTCTTTTGGATTTTAATTTTCTGGACTTCTGAATATTGATTTTTTTTCTGTTCTGTTTTGTAATGAGACTCATCTGATGAACTTGATGCATGTCTTTATAGCACTGAGATTGCCGGTTGTTAGGCCTGTGCTGTAATTTAGTTTCTAGCACTTTTCTTTTGTAATTTCTTTAGTTTTCTGTTACTGTTTGTAAGCCTCATCTCTATGGATAGTGGCTAACTTTTTAGAGGTTGGGTTTAGGTGACACCCAAACTTCAGTGCTTGTTAAATGTTTGGTTTTCTGGTTTTAATTTTTATATCTCAGTTGTTTAATGTTTTTTCTAATGTGTAAAATTATCTGCATTTTGGCCGAATGTCAGATGTTTGGTTAGGATTTAGTTGTTGAGAATCAACTAACTCTGGATTCTGCATTAGACACATGGACTTAGATGAGAAATTATTTAAGGGATCTCATTTCAGAAATGAATGAGACCTCATGTAATATTGGACCTGAGTCTCAAGAGTCCTAATCCCACTTGGCATAGAGATATGGAAGTGGGCAATTTTGAGATAAAATAATTTTTAAGAGATTAAAATTAACAATACAGTTCTGTTAACTGAGAACCTTAGGATGAGCTTTTGGTTAATCAAATTATTTTTCAAGCACTGTGGGGAAGGAGAGCCAGAACTCAACCCACCTTTTTGAACATCTTTATCAACTCAGATTTCCAATTTCCTTTGTTATTTCATATTTCAATCTCTGTTCTGTTTCCAAAATTTTTTTGTCACATCTGTCATTTAAGTTGCTTCATTCTTACTTCTTATTTTATAACTTAGGAAAGTAATTCAGAAAATTCTAAAGAAAAGTGAACAGTAGTGTTTTAAGTCCATTCTAGATTATTTATACTTTACAATTTTTATTTCTTTTATTTTCAAATAGTAATTCAGTTTTAAGCAATTACAAATGTTAGTCATTTCAAAACGCCAACGATCCTTGTGGGAACGATAATTGGGACTTATAACAGCCCTATATTACTTGTTGTCGCGTATACTTGCTCGCATTACTTGCACAACTGTTAGCAAGGCACCACGTCCCACACTTGAACAAAGTAGGTGGATCCCTGCCATACAAAGCTCTAAATGGGGTCATGCCCGTTGTATCCTTGAATGTTGTATTGTACCAAAATTAAGCCCAAGGAACCCATTTGGGCCATTCCTTGGGTTTAGTGCAGCAAAAACAGCGTAGATAGGCCTCTAAACAGCGGTTAACGACCTCCGTCTGGCCATTGGTTTGCGGATGATACGTTGTGCTATAATGGAGCTTGGTAGCTGCACACTTGAAAAGTTCAGTCCAAAAGTGACTTAAAAATACCCTGTCACGGTCTGAAGTAATAGTAGCAGGAAAACCATGTAACCGTATGATCTCCTTGACAAATAATTCAGCCACTTCCTTAGTTGTATAGGGATGTTTGAGGGGAATGAAGTGAGAATATTTGGTGAGGCGGTCAACTACCACCGACAAAGTATCCACTCCCCTTGATTTTGGGAGCCCCCCAATGAAGTCTAAGGAGATTTCATCCCAAACTTGAGTTGGAACGGGTAGTGGCTGTAACAGTCCAGCCGGAGTCAGATTGAGGGACTTACACTGTTGACAGCTAGCACAACCTGCGACATACTCCTTTATATCCTTCCTCATCCCTTCCCAATAGACTACTTCAGCCAACCGTTTGTATGTTCGAAAGTACCCTGAGTGTCCACCAACCCCAGAATCATGGTACTCTTGCAATAAGGAAGGGATAAACTGAGAGGACTTTGGGAAAACCAATCGGCCATTATAAAAGAGCTTCCCTCCCTTCCTGGAGAATCCCTTGTGCGCATCAGGTACAACAAGTCCTGGAAGATCCCCTGCAGCCTTGCATCGTGCTGTATCTCTTTTTCTAACTCATCCAATTCAGACCATTGCACTGTAGATAAAGCTGCAAAAATCATTTGTCTAGACAAGGCATCAGCTACTTGGTTATCCTTCCCTGGTTGGTATTGAATTTCAAAGTCAAACCCCATCAGTTTTGATATCCATTTTGTTGATTTTCACTCAGGATGTGCTGCTCAATAAGGAATCGTAAGCTCCTTTGGTCTGTCTTGATGATGAAATGATTACCCATGAGGTAATGTCTCCATTTCTTGACTGCAAATACTATGGCCATAAGTTCTTTCTCATAGACAGATTTGGTCTGAGCTTGAGTAGAGAATCCTTGACTCATAAATGCAATCGGTTTATTATCCTGAGTGAGGACTGCTCCAATCCCCTTCCCTGACGCGTCAGTGACCACTGTGAATTGCTTGCTGAAATCTGGTAAAGCTAACACCGGTACTGAGCTCATCATCACTTTCAATTGTTGGAAACTGTCCTCTGCCTCCTTATTCCATTGAAAACCATCTTTCCGCAATAACTCCGTAAGTGGTTTTGCTACTTTCCCATAATCCTTCACGAACTTCCTATAATATCCGGTTAGCCCCAGGAAACCTCTCATCCCTTTGACACACATGGGTTTCGGCCAAGCCACCATGGCTTTTATTTTTTCCGGGTCAGCTTTGACCCCTGCAGCAGACACACAGTGTCCTAAGTACTCGATAGAACTCCTGCCAAAGCTGCAATTTTTTTTATTTGCTACTAACTGATGCTGCCTCAATACCCCAAAGATGGTTCTCAAATGACCCAGGTGTTCCCCCTTATTCTTGCTGTATATTAAAATATCATCAAAAAACACGAGGGCAAACTTCCTCAAGAATGGGCGAAGGATTTCATTCAT